CCCCCCCGCGGGGTCACCTTGCCCGGGGCTCCCACAGGCCCTGGGTGGTGCGATCCGGTGGGATGGGGCCTGGAGGAGGGGTCCAGCCTCCCCGGCCTCGGCAGCCGCACCCCTCCCCAGCCGAGGGAGGGGCCTCGCGGGTCTGGGCGTCAAGGTGAACCTAACCTTGGCGGGTGGGGGGGCACCTCCCTCACCCGCCCGGGCGATGAGTGTCCCGGCTACAAATAGCTGCAGAATCGGTGAGTCAGGAGGCTGGAAATACCGCACCCTCTTCCCTGCTCCTGACCGCAGCCGGGCGGCACCGCAGAGGGCCCAGTCCTGGGTCTCCCGAGGCCCGGCCGGAGTCCCCCCCAGCTGGGTGACCTTAGGCCAGTCACTCAGCTTCTCTGGGGTAGCAGGGGGCCCGGTGAGCCCCCGCCCCCATCCTGTGTCCCTTCACCTGGGACTTGCTGGGCACAGAGCGCGGTACACAGACTCCGCACTGTAAATATCTGTCGAATGAAAGAATGAATGAAAGAAAGGGGCAGGCAGTTGGGGGACAGGGTGCCTAGAGGAGTCTCACTGAGAGTCCTGGGACTCATGCAGGTGGGCGAGCGGAGCGGGAGGCAGCCAGAGACACCCGCGGTCCCCCGAGGGCTGCAGCTCCTTCTTGGTTTTTCCTTGGGGTTTTTTTGGGTTTTGGGGGGGGTACCATGCATCATTTTCCCTCTTGGTCTTTTACCCTGGCTTCCAGCCCAGCTAGATCCATCTGGACTTGGGAACTGCAGGCTGGGGACCTCCAGAGATCCGTGACACTGTCTTTATTGTGTGTACAGGTTACAGTGCCAGTCGACTCTCCCACCGCCCGCAGCCCTCCCCCAGTGCCCCAGGATGATGGGTCAGAGGCCACCCTCAGTGCGCCCAGCCAAGAAGCAGGGGGCAGAGATGGCCCCATCTCTCAGCTGCCTGCTACCCTCACCCCTGCCCAGGAGGAAGCAGGGTTCTGGCTCTTCCTATGCCCCCCTCCACCCTAGCAGGACCATATAGACCAGGGCGCAGAGCCTGAGGAACAGAGTGAGGGACTCCCTGGGGCCCAGAGCAGGGCTGACAATAGCTGACATCCTGGGTTCCCATCCAGCCTCCAGTGACAAAGGCTGGGGGCCCAGGCTCACTGGAGACTCCGCTTCCCCACTGATATAAACTGAATGGCTGGATCCACTTTTAGGGTCTCTGATTCGGCCCCACTCAGTGGTGACATGAGGATGCGAAGGACAGTGGGGCATGAGGTGTGGGTTACACACTTACCCTGGATGCACAAATGGAGGTGGGATGGGTGTGAGTGTGTGTGTGTGTGAGCAGGAAACTGGGTCGCTGTCTGGGACCTTGTCTGCAGGGGGAGTGGCCCCTGGCCCACAGTGGGGAGGACAAGTCCCCCACGCCTGTGGGCACCAAGCAGGAAGGGGACAGCAGGATTTCACCCAGTTTGTCACGAACCAGCTGTATTGGAAAAACTCCACCTGTGCAGACATGACATTCCCTGACTGGGCATAGCTGGCTGCGGCGCAGGGCAGCAGGCGGCCTGCCAGCTGGTTTGGGGCTTGGAGGGCAGCCAGGGGAGGTGTCCCTCCCAGCTGTGCCCTCCCGGCTTCCCTCCAGCAGTCCCACCTGGACAGACACTTCACCTATGACCTTCCCTCAGCCTGATCTGCTCTGCTTTGCCAGGGGACCCCCAGTTCCCAGTTCCCCCACCTCTGAGAGAGAGGCTCGGCAGATCAGAGGGAGACAGGGCATTTGTCTGTCTGTCCTGCAGATCATGTACCCAGAGGCCCTGCCTGACCCCATTGCCTTCCTCAGTGGGTCTTTAGGACCTTTCTGTCCCTACCCAGCCCCTCAATTCTGAATGGAGAGACAACATATGTGGAATCTGGGGGCCATAGTGAGGTGAGGGGTCGCTGGCCTGCCCTGGGTAGAGGGAAGGGCCCTAGTTTGGGGATGATGCCCACCTGGGGCCTGGGGTTTTGGGGGTGGGAGTTAGGCTGAGATGTCCTGGGGTTCAGCAGACTCAAGGCTGGTCAGTCGGGGAGGGGGAGAGTGGGGCGGGCAGGGACCGAGGTCCTCAGATTTTGATCTCTGTCCGGAAGGTCTGCTGGACGTGCTCCGTGTGTGGGTGACGCCGTGCCCGGATGGTGAGACTGCCGTCCTCCCGCAGGGCTGAGGTCACTGAGGTTGGGTCCACATCCTCTGGCAGCTGGCACTTGTGCGCAAAGTTGTTCATGACTGTGCCATCCGCCGCCAGCTGGGGACGGGTGATGGGTGAGGGCAGGCTGTCCGCAGACCTGTCCCCCACTCACGGTCCCCTTCTCCCCAGCTGGACCCTGGGCACTGAGAGCCATGCCCTCTTGGACACTCAGGCATGCAGGAGTCCACTGCGGGCCAGGCCACCCCACCCCCACAGCTCCACCGGCACATAGTGTCCAGAGGAGTCTGGGGCAGCTGAGTCACTGTTGGGATGGCAGAGCCAGCACGTGCTGGCTCTGAGCACCCGCCCCCCGCCGCCGTCCTCACACCCCTGGTAGGGGCTCCCATTCCAGCTTCACATGCTCAGGGGCGGAGCAGGAATCCTTGGTCACATCTCCCAGCTGCAGCTGGCTGTGGTGACCCAGAGTAGCTTTCCTGTTGGCCTGGCCACAGCCTCTGCCCAGGTGGAGGCTGCAGGCCACCTAGGGGCTCAGACTCAGAGACCCTGGTGATCCAGAGGCCCTGAGATCCATGGGTGGAAGATATGTCTCGTGGAGCGTGTGTAACCCTGAGTGCAAGCCTTCTGCCCAGTCTAGGCCACAATTCAGGGATCCCAGTGGAAGAGAGCTGGAGGGGTGGTGTGAGGGGATAGCTGCCCAGGGAGGGCTCCACCCCCCAGCTGCCCACCAGCCTGCCAGGGAACCTGTCCTCAAGCTCCCATCGCTCCTCACCCTGGGGTCTCCTCAGCCCACATCCCTCCTGCCTCTCCCACCCACCAACCCCTCCACTGCTGAGGGCTCCTGAGCTCCAGATCTGGACACCTCAGGGTGGAGAGAGGCATAAGGGGGGCCCCTAAGCTATGGGGGCCAAGGTCCCCAGCCTGTCGTGGAGGGTTCAAATGGGGGAAGGAACACCGCTCAGAACCTGTGGTCCCAGGGTAGGAGATGGGAGGAGGGAACAGAGGGCAGGGGACCCAGGAGTGGAAGTGGGGGCCAGGCTCACCTTCTCAGCCCGAACCTCGATGTGGTTATTGGAGGTGGTGACGATGATGTCCTCAGGGGAGAAGTCTCTGACGTCCACTGCAAACTCGTAGGCATCTCCAAGGGTCTTGACGCCGCCTGGTCCCCCCGGGCGGGCTGTGGGGAAGTTGGCTATGAGCTGGGCAGGGCCAGGGCCTGCGCTCAGAACCTGGGTCTCTGTCCCTGTCTTGGGGAGGGGCAGCCCCTCCAGGTATTGCTCTTGAGCGCCACCTGCTCCTCAAGCCTCCTCTTTCCATGGTGGGGATGGCCTCTCACACACGGAGGACATCAGCCCTCAGCAGCCCCAGGCCCTTGGTGCCCTCCAGCCCTCCGAGGTTCCACAGGACCTGGCCGCAAGCCTGTGTGGCACACCTTGGGGCCACCTGCTTTCATGGCCACATCTGTCTTGGTGGCCATGGGTGGCTGCAGGGTGTGCAGCACCTATTCCTAGCAGGGGCAGCCACAGCACCTTCATTGATGCCTTGGAGTAGATGCCCCAACTTCTGCATATCTCCTGCACTTGCCTGGGAAGGCCAGGGGCTCCGAGTGGGGCCGCATGAAGCTGCCGAAGTCCTCAGAAAACAAGCTCAGGGACTTCTCCATGGGTGGGTCCTGCGGTGGGAGGGCACGGGAGGCCGAGGAGGAGGAGGAGGAGGAGGAAGAGGAGGAGGAATGGAAGCTTCTCTCCGCTCTGAAGGAGGAGGAGGTCCGGTGGCTCATTCACAGGCAGAGCTGGCCCTGTCCAAGCGGGCAGGAGCTGGACAGGAGAAGGGTATGGGGCAGCCTCCGGCGCAGCGTGCTGGGCCCTGACTGCCAGTGCTTTATAAGGCCCGACTGTCCCTGGGCTCGGGGCCAGCTCCTTGTCTGTTCGCTAAATTTAGGCCTCTTCATGGCCCGGAGGGGGCTGGAAATCTTCTCTGAGCACCAGCGCTGCTGACAGCTCCACACAGGCAGGCCGAAGGGCTGAGCTCACTGCCTGGCATTCTAGGGCCGTGGCTCTGGCCCCAAGGTCTTCCGCACCCCTTGGGGCAGGGGGCTGGATCCTGTCCCCTTGTCACTCAGGCTCCAGTTCCGCCCCAGGACTTTGTGGTTTGGTGTCTCCCCCATCAGTCTAGGGGGTCAGATCACCAGGGATGGCTTCACCCCCTGCAGGCCAGCAGACTGCAAACTCCTTGAGGACAGGGTGGGTACAGCACTCGCTGATGGGCTGTGACCCAGCAGGAGCTCTGTTTACTCCCATTGCATGGGAGAGGCTGAGACAGGCCCCCTCGGTGGGGGAGAATATGCAGTTGTCCCCCTGCCAGCTCCCACGGGAGACGCAGATTCCACGCTCCTGCTCTTGGAACATTTAGGACCCATGAGGAGTGAGCTGGCAGCTTGGGGCAGGGCTTGGGTTGGGCCCAGACTCAGTCAGGGGCAGGTACTTAGGCCATTGTCCTCAAAGATCTAGGAGGTCGAGTTCCCAGCAACCGCTTGCTTGACCTCAGACTCAATTCCGGAGCCATGTACCCTAGTTCTGACCTCGGGGTACCTCTGGCCACAGGCTCCCCTTTGCAGCATGGTCCCCTCTAGCCCTCCCCACCCCTCACTCATGGTGAGATATTAGGTCCATTTTATAGGCAGGAAAAGGAAGAACACACAGAGAGAGGGGCTGGACCTTGTGCAAGAGACAGCACTGGGATTTGAACTCAGACCTGTCTGATCCAGGTCCCTTCTTAAACATACACCTGTGGAGACAGAAGACCCCGAGAAGCCCCTCCCTGCCCACCTGCTGCTCCACAGAGCAGACTGAGGGCATGCAGAGCTTTGGAGGCTCCTCTGGAAGGCAGCTGTCTGTCTGTTCAGGCTGCAGCTTGGGGCTCTCCTCTCAAATCCTGCCCTTCCTTCCTGGTCGGCATGAGCTCCTCCTCCCCTGTTTGCTGCAGTCACTCACAGCAGTCCAGGTGCTCATAGCACTGTTCTTTCCCCCACCCGGCACCTGGCAGTGTGGCATGGTCTTCGTGCGTGCGCGTGTGTGTGTGTGTGTGTGTGTGCATGTGTGTGCGTGTGTGTGATACTAGATAGTAGACCCAGGGCCTTCACACTGAGCCACATGCTCAGCCCTTTTATTTAGCTTTATTTTGAGACAGGGTCTCGATAAGTCCCTAAATTGCCCAGGCTGGGCTCCAATTTGCAATCCTCCTGCCTCAGCCTCCCAGAGGGCTGGGATTACAGACATGCGTCACCACACATGGCTGGCCTTCCTACATTTTGAGACTTCTCTGTGACATCTCCTTTCCCCTCTCCAGCTACGGTTCCTCCCAGGCAGTGTTTGCAAAGAACATTTAGGGGTCCTGGGTCCCCCTATTAGGAGGGGCTGCTCCCCTTTCTCTGACCCTCATGAGCCGGTCTGGAGCTCCAACCCTGGGGCTCCCTGCGGGGTAGTCACAGGTGCTGGTGGTGTAGAGGGGGGAAGGGAGGGCACACTGGGGCCAGGGTGGTGTCTGGAGCAGCCATTCCTGCCTGTATCCCTGAGTGCTGCCAGAGGGGGCGTTGGCAGGGGTGCTGGGAAGGGACCAGCAGAGCAATGAGAGGGAAAGTGGCGGGGGCCGCCGCTGGGGGGCCCAGGAGCCCGCCACCCGCCAGGGAACAGGAGCCAGCAGCTAAATGCAGATACTCTGTCATGGTGCCTAGGGCCTGAGTCACTGCTCCTGGACCTGGATCCCTTTCCCACCCCCGCCCACCACCCCTCCCGGTCCCCACAGCCAGGCGTCATCCACGCAAATATGGAACCTTCTGGCTTGGGTGACCAGGAGGGACCTCGAAAGGTCATGAAGGCCATTCCTGGACTCTGGACACACCTCTTCCCCAAGATCACAGGGATGAGGCACTTTAGTGATGATCCTGTCCTTAGGAGGTGGTGCACACCTCCAATCCCAGCACTCTGGGAGGCTGGGGCAGGAGGATTGCAAGTCTGAACCCCTCCTGGGCAACTTAGCAATTTAGCAAGACCCTGTCTCAAAAAAAAGGCTTGGGATGTAGCTCAGTGTAAAGACCCTGAGTTCAGTGCCCTGTACTACAAAAAAAAAAAAAAAAAAAAGATCCATCCCCGTGAGTCCGGGTGGCATCCCATTCCCAGGGAGCTTTTCACAAATGCAGTGCCCTGAGATTCCTCAAGATCTTGGGAAGGGTCCAGAGTCTGTTTCCCCTTGGCTCCCCATGTAGCCCACTCAGAGCCCAGTGTTCGGAATCCATAGGGACACTTCCTATGTGCTGGGCACTGCCCCAGGCCTGGGCATTTGGACCCCCTGCTCCCACGCTCTCCTCACTAGATAGAAGGGGAAACAGGCTCTGTGTAGCAAAGGAGCTGGGCACAGCTGAGCTGCTCAGGCTTCAACACTGCTATCACCGTCCTCGGCCACCTCCATGGCTGCCTGGTGCTCACAGGAGCGAGAGAAGCAGGGCAGGCACTGGGGGGCAGTGTGTCCCCCAGGGCCCTCTTCTCGGCTTGCCGGTGCTCACAGGACAGAATGCAAGGGGTGGACGTGGAGGCAGCTGTGGGCTGGCAGTGCAGCTGCCTGGAGCAGACAGCGGGCTTTGGGCTGTCCACAGGGTGGGCAGCTCCCTGCAACTACACGGCTGGCAGGTCAGGGTGGCCATGGCCAGGGTGGCCTGGGACCATGCAGAGCGGTGAGACTTCATCCCTGTCCCCATCATGAGCAATGGTGCAGCTGCTCCTTCTGTACCTGACTTGGCCCGGCTTCCAGGGCCAGAAGCAGCTCAGGGTCTTAGCTTTTCCCAAATCACTGGAGACGCAGCATGGTTTTCCAGGAGGTGGCTTGTCTGGGGCAGGGGACAATGGTCCTGGTCTCTTTTCCAAATCTGGCACAGATCCTCAGCTTTATGCCCAAACCATTGCTCTGCTGCAACCTCCGGGGCCAGGGTACATCTGGTAGGGAAAGAGCTACTGGCTCTAGGTCTGAGCTCAGCCTCTGTGGCATGACCTTGGATGAGAGACGGCCCCTCCTTGACCCTCCATGTGTCCTCTGCAAAACGGGGGGGCTGCCCCTGCTTACAAGGTGTGAGTGGATGGACTGCATTGAAGATGGAGGGCTCCTTGCACCCTGCACGTACTTGCTCCCGTCACCCCAGTTCATCCCCTCTGCCGAGTGAGACAAGAGCTGGCCCCAGCCAGATGACGATTTGAGAGGCAGTAGGCTGAGTCAGGAGGGTCTAGACATGAAGATCAAGTCCAAATTCTTCACCAGGCTCTGAAGACCTCTGCCTTTGGCCTCCCCCACCCCCTGAAAAAGATGGGACCATCAAGGGAGGAAGGACCATGGAGCAGTGGGCAGTGTGCAGGGTGCAATCCTGGGTCTCCCCTCTGTGATCTTGTTTGCTCTTGTTGGCTGGTGGTATTGATAAGGTCTTTTATTTATTTATTTTTAGAAATGTTTGCCTTTGTGGGGGACAGTGTTGAGGATGGAACCCAGGACCTTTACACTGGCTACATTTGTAGCCCTTTTATTTTCTATTTTGAGACAGGGTCTCCCTAAGTTGCTAAGCTGCCCAGGCTGGGCTTGAACTTGCAATTCTCCTGCCTCAGCCTCCTAGAATGCTGGGATTACAGGTGTGCACCACCAAGCCAGCAGTGATGCTGATGTTTTTGAGACTGAGTCTTGCTCTGTTGCCCAGCCCGCCCTCAAATTCCTGGCATCAAGTAATCCCTTTGTCTCAGCCTCTGAAGACTCTGGAACCACAGGCATGTGCCACAGCACCCAGCTGGCCTCTGCGATCTTGGAAAAGAGCCTCACATTTCTGCACTGCTATTTTTGTTTTCGGTACTGGGGATTGAATGTAGGAGCTACATCCTCAGTCTTTTATTATTATTATTATTATTATTATTATATTTTTATTTTGGGCCTCACTAAGTTGCTAAATTGCTTAGGCTGGGCTCGAACTTGTGATCTCCCAGCCTTAGCCTCTCAGAGTGCTGAGATCACAGGCATGCACCATCATGCCCATGCAGTGCCATTTTTGTTTGTTTGTTTGTGGTACCAGGGATTGAACTCGGGATGTTGCAGGTGCCGGAACCACTGAGCTAAATCCCCAGCATAATGCCATTTCTTTAAAGCAGACTAATACTGCTGCCTGCAGGATTTCTGCGAGTACTTAGAGTAGTTCTGGGGAGGGCCAACCACCTTGCCTGACACTCAGGGAAGCTGAGTCACAACCCTCCCACTCTCCTTGGCCTGTGAGCTTCTGCTCCACTGGTCCCTCCTCTCTCTGCTTTTTCAAACTCTCTCCATGCCTAGCTCTGAGAATCCGGATCCCTGAGCTTCAGCCACTAAAGCGGTCTCTGTGCTGCTCCAGTCTCCAGCTCTGGGTCCCCAGGAGCACTGCAGAAGCCTGCAGTGGGATCGAGTACCCCACTCTGCAGGCTCTGGTGCGAGTAGGGGACACCCCACTCCCTGAACTGTGCCCTTTGGCAGCTGTGCCTGCAGTGCTCAGTTGGCCTGGGCAGTCCTGGCTGGTTTGTCAAGGACACTCTTAATGGCCCTGAGGGGGCGGGGCAGGTGCTGATTGGCGGAGTGCACACCTGTCCAGCTGCACCTGCGCTGCGGGGAAAGGTTCTGCTAGGGGAGGCGCAGTCGGCAGGGCAGCCTGACAGGTAAGGGCTGGTGGACTCGGAGGAAACATGCAGGGCAGGGTGGGTGGGAGGGGGCGGGGCTGAGCCGGCAGTGCACTGTGACCCTGAGGAGGGTCTCAGGGCTTGGGGTTTTCCTGTGCCCTGCAGCCTGAGCTGAGGGGTGCTCAGAAATGGGCATGGGAAAAGAGGCTGTGAGGACCCTGGGAAAGGGACACAGCCCGGTGTGCCAGGAGGGTGGGAGCAGGGGCCTTGATCAGGGGGCTTAGGATCCTGGTCCTGCCTGTGCCTACTGTGCTGCTGGAGATAGAGGGGCACCTTGGGCCCCCTAGGAACCTCCAGCCCCCCTCCCCTACGGCCTTTCCTGTCCATTCGGGAGGCAGAGGATGGGAAAGATTAGAGGCAGGGTAAGGGGTGTCATTGGTCACTGAGGCTCTGTCTGTCTGTCCACTCAGCAGGGACCCAATGGAGGAGCTGGTGGGGCTGCGTGAGGGGTCCCCAGGGAGCCCAGTGGCTCTCCACGAGCTCTGGGGCCGGTGTCCCCACATCCGTCGAGGCATCCGGGGTGAGTGTCAGGCCCCTTTCCACCCACTGCCCCTGGAAGAGCCTTCAGGACCCCACCCCAAGCCCAGGAGCTGCCCTCTCTGATCCTTGCTTACATCCCCACTACTGCTCCCCGGAGTCCCTGAGTGGCTGGGAAGGAAGGCATTGGTCTGCCTGACCACTGGCCTTGTCACCTGTGCTGGGTGTCTGCCTTCTGCATTTGGGAGGCAGAGCCCAGGTCTGACCACTGGGCCTCTCTACCCAGGTCAGGAGGGGCCCCCAAGGGCCAGTGCTGGGACAGGAGCTGCCACAGCATGTGGCTAGGGAGCCATGGGCTTGGCACCTGTTTTTGGAACCCAAATTCATTGTCCACTGAGACCTGAGTGTCCCTTTAGCCTGGGGATAGAGAAGGCAGGGACCACAGAAAGGGCTGGTGCCCACAGCCTGTGTGCTTGCAGGCTGGGCTGGGGCATTGTTGAAGGCCCATGGGGCAGATGGCCCCTGGCCCTGGGGTCTAAGTCACAGCCCTGCAGATGGGTGACAGAGGGGGATGCCCACCCTGGTCTATAGCCCCTGCCCCATCAGCACCCAGTGTGAGTCAGGAGGCGCTGGCAGGGCCACAGGCCTGGCACCCGCTGTGGCGCCACCTGCGCCTGCCCTTGCCTCCTCCCCTGGGGCTGTGACCTCACTGTCCCACCCAGGGGGCCTGGAGTGGCTGAGGCAGAGGCTGTTCCACATGGGTGAGGACTGGTGCTTCCTTATGGCCCTCGGGGTGCTCATGGCGCTGATCAGCTATGCCATGAACTTCGCTGTGGCACGTGTGGTCCAAGGTAACTGTCCCGGCCACATTCCCTGGGATGCCAAAGGGGCTGCCGGGTACAGTGGGGAGGAGGAGGGCTCTGCTCTGCTCCCACTTCTGCCTGGCTGTGTGGCTCTGGGTAGGCTCCTGCTGTCTCTGGACCTCAGCTGCCTCGTGCCTTCCTCACCTGAACGCTGGGCCTCTCGTGTCTCCCTCCTTGATACCCTAGAGCCCCAGGCAGGTGGGCCACCCTGGAGGAGGGGGCATGAGGCACAGGGGCCTCAGACACTTTCTCCACACTGAGGTGCCATGAGGACAGCTATCACTGAGGTGCTTCACAGCCCCTCCTTTAGTCCACGGTGACCCTTCAAGTAAGGGACCATCCCCGGCCCATTTGAAAGAGGGGGAAACAGAGGCCCAGAGAGGTTGAGTCACTTGCCCAGGTCCCTCAGCCAGGAGGTAGCGAAGCTGGGTCCTCCTCCTGCCCTGCTTAGGGCTGTAAGTGGGCAGGACAGCATCCAACCCCGAGGGCTGCAGAGGCTTCGGGGCTCCCTGACACCCAGCCATCCCCAGCACACAACTGGCTGTACCAGGAGATCGGGGACAGCCACCTGCTCCACTACCTGTCTTGGACCGTGTACCCGGTAGCCCTTGTGTCCTTCTCTTCTGGCTTCTCCCAGAGCATCACACCCTTCTCTGGAGGTGAGTCCCCGGCTGCTATGGCACCTGCCCCGAGGTCCCCACGGGTCCAAGGCTTTTACATCCCTTGGGGTTTCTGAGGGGTGACAGGAAGCAGCAATCCCATTTCATAGGCGGAGAAGCAAGGCATGAAGGCTGGATGTGGAATCCTGGGTCGCCGTGGGCTCTGCCTGATTCCCTGGGGCTGTGATTGAGGGCTGGTGGCAGGTCCCCCTGCAGGCTGGGGTGGCCTGTGTTGGGAGGCAGAGCAGGTGGAGATGGGGGTGTGCTCCTGTGCTCTGACTCCTACCCTGGAAGGCCCAGCTGGAAGGACACACAGCTCATGTCCCCTCTGATCCTCTGCGTCTGCAAAATGGGGTTCTGACCCCTCCCCTCAGGAGTGGGAGGCTCTAGCTGCCCCCTCCTCGGCCCTGTCTGCCCACCCAGGGTCTGGGATCCCGGAGCTGAAGACCATCCTGTCAGGGGTGGTTCTGGAGGATTACCTGGACATCAAGAACTTCGGAGCCAAGGTGGTGGGTCTGTGCTGCACGCTGGCCAGCGGCAGCACCATCTTCCTGGGCAAAGTGGTACGAAGCCAAAGCCAGTCGGTCCCTCAGCCACAGGGAGACAGCCCGGGCCCCAGATGGGACAGAAGCTGTCTCAGGATGGTCCTGGGGTTTGGGGAGATGGCAGTGGGGGAGGGCCTGCTGGACCCCAGGAAGAGGAGGAAGAAAAGTAGGGACCCGGCTCCCCCAGGGCACATGCCCCATGCCCTGTGCCCGCACCCACCCACAGGGTCCCTTTGTGCATCTGAGTGCGATGATCGCTGCCTACCTGGGCCGCGTGCGCACCAGGACCATCGGAGAGCCTGAGGTGAGGGGCTCGGACCTCTGGAGGAATGGGTGGGAGAAGAAGGAGGGGCTGCCTCTGAGCTCGGTGACCTGCATCTCCCCAGAACAAGAGCAAGCAAAATGAAATGCTGGTGGCCGGGGCAGCAGTGGGCGTGGCCACTGTGTTTGCAGCCCCCTTCAGTGGTGAGACCCCCCCTTGCCCCTGCGCCCCTGGGGCTCCCTGGCCCTGCCCTCCCTGGCTTGTGGACTGACCAGCCGCTCCCTGCCCAGCTGAGGGGCCAGGAGAAGAGGCTGGGACTAGTCCTAGCTCAGGGTGGGGTGCAGGGCCAGGTGTCTTTAGGAGGACACTAGACAGATGTCAGTTTGAAATCTAGTTCCCACTGTGTGACCACGGCCAGTGAGCTCACTTCTCTGAGCCTGGTTTCCTCAGGTCAGGGTCATAACAGTCCCTGTGGTGGTGCATGCCTGTAATCCCAGCATTCCAGGAGGCTGAGGCAGGATTGCAAATTCAAATCCAGCTTGGGCAATGTAGTGACTTAGTGAGACCCTGTCTCAAAAAATGAAAATATAAAAAGGGCTAGGGCTATAGCTCTGTGTGAAGCCCTTGCGTTCAATCCTCACTACTGAAAAAAAGTCAAGGTTCCCCCTTGCCCAGGGCTCAGGCTGTGCCTTCCCCCACTTCAGCTGAGGACCAGGCAGGTCAGAAAAGGTCAGGGGAGGTGATGGCCAGGTCAGCAGCCGTGGCACGGGGGTGGGGGGTGGGGCTCCTGACTCGGTGCCCCGCAGGCGTCCTGTTCAGCATCGAGGTCATGTCCTCCCACTTCTCTGTCTGGGACTACTGGAGGGGTTTCTTCGCTGCCACCTGCGGCGCCTTCATGTTCCGCCTGCTGTCCGTGTTCAGCAGCGAGGAGGGTGAGGCCCCTCCCCTCCTCCCTCCCCTTCCTGCCTCCCTCCTTCCTTCTGTCCCTACCTGCCCTCCTCCTCTCCCTTCTCCTCACTCTGGACTCCCAGTCTGCAGGCCTGGAGCGCAGGGTCCCGCTGTGGGGGCCTTGAATGCTGCAAGTATTTGGGTGCTGTCCTGGCACAGCCTGCAGCCTGCCTAGCCTTGGGCCTCACTCCCCTCTCCCCAGAGACTATCACAGTCCTCTTCAGGACAAGCTTCCCCGTGGAGGTGCCCTTCGACCTGCCCGAAATCTTCTTTTTTGTGGTTCTGGGGTGAGCAGGGACCCTGGAGCCCATCTGGGGTTGGGGGTTCCCCAGGCCTCACTGGGGGTGGGGGCTGACTCACTGCCTGCCCTGTGCCCAGGGGCATCTGTGGCATCATGAGCTGTGCCTACCTGTTCTGTCAGCGCACCTTCCTGGGCTACCTCAAGACCAATCGGTTCACCTCCAAACTGCTGGCCACCAGGTGCACTGGGGCCTCTTGGGCCACCCAGCCCTTGGGGAGCCCTCATCCTCCCACTGACCCCTCAGATGAAGGATGGGTGGGGAAGGAGGAGGCAGCACTGGCGCTCACCGGCGCCCCTCTGCTCCAGTAAGCCACTGTACTCGGCCCTGGCAGCCCTGGTGCTGGCCTCCATCACCTACCCCCCTGGCGTGGGCCGCTTCATTGCTTCTCGGGTAAGGGGCGCACGGGAGCAGGAGTGGGGGCCTCCTCTGTTGCCCCCTTTTGCATGTTGTCTCAGTCCCTGAAACACCCCTAAGGAGAGGCGGGCTGGAGATCATGGGGGGGGGGCAGCCAGGGGACTTGCTGGACAGCCACTTGCCCTGCTCCAGCTGTCCATGGGCCAGCATTTGGACTCGCTGTTTGACAACAACTCCTGGGCGCTGGCCACCTGGAACTCGTCCCCACCCTGGCCCAAAGAGCTTGACCCTGAGAACCTGTGGCTGGAGTGGTACCAGCCGGAGTTCACCATCTTTGGGACGCTGGCCTTCTTCCTGCTCATGAAGGTGGGTCTCCTGCTCCAGGCAGGTGGGCTGCCTCCTTGGGCATGGTGCCTGGCCTGGCCCTTCCACCCCCACTGCCTGCTCTGAGCCCTGCCTGTTGGGGTCCCAGGCAAGTGGCTTTAGCTCTTGGAGCCTCAGACTCTTCACTGTTTTGTTTTTTTTTGGTACTGGGGATCGAACTCGGGACCTTGCACTTTCAAGGCAGGTGCCAGAACCACTGAGCTAAATCCCCGACCTCAAAACTCCTCATTTTTGAAATAAGTTATCTGGGCATGATGGCTCATGCCTGTAATCCCAGCACTTGGGAGGCTTAGGCAGGAGGTTCACCACAAGTTCGAGGCCAACCTGGGTTACATAGTGAGTTCAAGGCCAGCCTGAACTACATAGTGAGACCCTATGTCAAAAAAACAGAAAAATAAAAATAAAAAATAAAAAGTGTAGTTACTGGTGTCTCTAACCTCTGCCCTTTGCCTGCCCAGTTCTGGATGCTGATTCTGGCCACCACGATCCCCATCCCCGCCGGCTACTTCTTGCCCATATTCATCTACGGTGAGCCTGGGGTGCTGAGGGTCTGAGAGGTTCTGGGGTACAGGGCTGGGCATGGCTCCCAGCCCACCTCCTCCTTCCCAAGGGGGGCTCCACCCTGGACCTAGGGCCTGGCTGCTTCCCTTCACCCTGAGTCTGTGTCAGGAGCTGCCATCGGGCGTCTCTTGGGGGAGGCCCTGTCTGTCACCTTCCCGGAAGGCATTGTGGCTGGAGGCGTTGTCAACCCCATCATGCCTGGGAGCTACGCCCTGGCTGGTGAGTTCAGGGCCAGTGCTGGGTGGGCAGGCACACCTCAGGCTGCACCTGGAGAATTGGCTGGAGGCTCTGCAGGGCATGGAGTAGCCCCTGGGTCACCCAATTTGTCTCCGGAGCCTGTCCCTCCCTGCACCCTGCCGAGATCCCTCTTAGCTCCTGTCTTGTCCCCCTCTGCTCGCCATGCCCAGCAGTGTCCAGCATGTGTTCTCTGGTGCTGCTCGTCCCAGCCCGGGTCCTAGCTGTGCCAGTTGTACCCTCCTGGCCTGATCTGCCCACCCCGCCCCACTTCCTTTCCCCAGGGGCCGCGGCATTCTCGGGGGCGGTGACCCACACCATCTCCACTGCACTGCTGGCCTTCGAGCTGACTGGCCAGATTGTGCACGGGCTCCCTGTGCTGATGTGCGTGCTGGCAGCCAATGCCATTGCCCAGAGCTGCCAACCCTCCTTCTATGATGGCACCATCATAGTCAAGAAGCTGCCTTACCTGCCCTGGATTCGAGGCCGCCGCATTGGGTGAGCGACTGCAGCATGCGGGGATGCTGGAGTTGGGAGGGCTGGGGGAGGCCCCCAGAAGAAAGGCCACTGAGGCTGACCTTGGCCATGACTCCTCTGGTCCCATGCTCCCCAGCACCCCACTTGCCTGGTGCAGGCTGCAGCTCACACGGACAGCACAGAGCCAGCACCAGCTTTGGGGGTCCCCTCCCTACCCCTGCTGCTCTGCTGTCCTTACTGCATTTGGGGAGCTGGGGTGGAGCTAGAATGGAGCTTTGAGGGTCTAGCTGGACCATGTGGTCCAGAGGCTCCGAAGGCTCTGGATCAAGGTCAGCTCCAAACCTCAGTTTCCCCATCCATGAGATGTGGGTGCTCATCAGAGGTTTCCAGACTTCAGAGTTGTTCTTTGATTTGATTTTGCTGTGTAACTTTTCTCCCAGTAGAGTTTTCCCAGGAAGGTGATGGGATGAATCAGAACAAAGCAGAACTGGACTGGGTCTGGGGCAGGATCTGGAGGCCTCAGGTTCAGGCCTGGACCCTCAGTGAGGTGTCCCAGGCTCCTTCCCACTGTGGAGTCCTGGGGGTCACTCAGCCTGGACCCCCTCAATCCCCACCCGCACTGGAGTCCTGGGTCCTGTCCCAGCCAATTCCCCAGGCTGCCGAGGACCCTGCTCATCCTGGGCGCTGAGGGCCTTATTGGGGATCCCTCTGCTGCAGCTCCCACCCGGTGAACGTGGGGCACTTCATGAACAGCACCATCACCACACTGGCCAAAGACGCGCCGCTGGAGAAGGTGGTTAAGGTTGTGACCTCCACGGATGTGACCGAGTACCCCCTGGTGGAGAGCACAGGTGCCCGGCAGGAGGACGGGGCCCGGGGCAGGGGCAGGGCCAGCAAGGAGAAACAGGGCATGGAGTCTGGGTCTGGAGCCCGGGCCTTGCTTAGCTGCATGGCACTGGGCCAATCCCTATCCCCTTTGAGCTTCTGTCACTTCATCAGTGACATGGACACAAGATCCAGCCTACGTGGGGGTGGACTGACATGTTTAAAGGAGACCAGAGTGAGTGTAAGGCACTGTGGACAGCTCCTGGGAGTCCAGGAACCAGGCCTGGTGTGCCTGAGAGTTGAGGAAGGTTGACGGGGCCACTGCTAGGATCTTCCAGAAGCTTCCCCAGGCCCTCTCCCATTCTTTGTTGCCACAACAAAAGTATCTTTTGAAAGAGAAATGAATGACCACCATGGTTACAAGACACAAGATCATCTGGGCATGGTGGCTCCCACCTGTAACCTCAGCATTCTGGGAGGCTGAGACAGGAGGATGGCAAATTCGAGCCCAGACCTGGCAATTTAGGGACACTCAGTCTCAAAAAAATATAAACAAATAAATAAGAATGGCTAGGTATGTAGCTCAGTGCAAAGGTCCTGGGTTCAATGTCCAGTACTGAGGGAGAGGATATGTAAGTTAAATCTCAAGGAAGGATCTAACCAGAGGACCCTTCCTGCCCTGTCAGAGCTATTGTCAGCCCATGTGTCCCCTTTGTGCAAATGAGACAAGGCACACACATGGCAACCATAGCATGCCTGGATTTTGGTCCCTACTTGCCCTTTGGGTAGGATCTTGTGCAGTGAGGAACCTCCACAATCATAAAGATCACCCCTATAGCCACCCTAGGAAGAATAACACCACTTTGTGAGCTGCATGACTGCGGCAACAGCACTAAAGTTCCATGAACTGCAGTGTCCTGCATACTGTTCAGCTTTGGCAGAGGCAGTCGTCCCATGTCAGGCAGTAAGTGCTTGGGAAATTCGAATCCCTCCTCCATAACCCGCCTCTCCCTCTCTGCCTACTAGAGTCTCAGATCCTCGTGGGCACTGTATGCAGGGCCCAGCTGGTGCAAGCCCTCCTGGCTGGGCCACCTTCCTGGGCTCAAGGACAACAGGTGGGTTCTGGAGAGGGCCATGGCACCAGGGAGAGGGAGCGGTGGTTCAGAGGGCAGTGGCCTGGCAGGAGGGAGCTGGCCCAGCCCTCATTGTCATTCTCCACCTTCAGCGGCTTCTACAGGACCTCCTGTCTGAGGGCTGCCCCACCACACCAGTGACCCTGCAGCTGACCCCAGACACCACACTGCATCAGGTAACAGGGAGCAGACGGTGGCCGAGGTGGAGGGAAACTCAGGCTCCAGCTGCCCCCAGTCACCCTCCCTTCCTTGGGCTGTTTCTTCATGCACAGGGTGGGCAGGCACTGCAGCTCCTACCTATCCAACCCTCCCTGTCAGGGCTGTGATGCAGTGACTTGGGAAGTGAGGGCTCAGGGAACAGAGCCTCTGGGTGGTTAAAAGCATCATGTCAGCTGGGCACAGTGATGCATGCCTCTGATCCCAGCTACTAGGGAGGCTGAGGCAGAAGGATCACAAGTTCAAGTGACTCAGTGAGATCCTATCTCAAAATTAATAAAATGGGCTGAGGATGTAGCTCAGTGGTTTTAGGCTCTGGATTCAATCCCTACCCCCACCCTCCAAGAAAGTATCTCATCAAGGCACCTGTGGATTTCAATTTATGTGCCCCACATTCTCTCTGTGTGGTCTTGGGCTAATTACTTAACCCTCTAGGACAGAGCCTGGCCCGCCCATGAGGCAAGGGAAGGGCAGGAGCGGGCGGGAACTTGGGGGTGGCGGGGATGATGCCCTTGATGCGAACTGAGGCTGGTGACCAGTCCTTTCCACCTGAGGCCTGGCCCTGCTCCTTGAATGGACTCTGGCGGGCCCTAGCGGTCACACTAGACATCGCAGGCCATATCCCTGTCCTCCCTCCCGCCCTGCGGGGCGGGCGGGTGTGGGGGGTCCGTCAGGAACCGGGGAGGCGGCGGAGGGGCGCTCCCTCCCTCCAGAGTTTCCTAACCACCCCCTCCAGGCACACAACCTGTTTGAGCTGTTGAACCTCCAGTCCCTCTTCGTGACGTCGCGGGGCAGAGCTGTGGGCTTTGTGTCCTGGGTGGAGGTACCTCGAGGGCGGGGCCGAGTAGAGGAGGTATGGGGGGGTCACCCCCTCCCAGTCAGAGTGTGGGGGCTGGGTAGAACTCTGATGAGCCCCACTGGGCCCGGCTTCCCCAGTAGCCTGCCCCGCGGTTCTCTGGGATCCAGAGACTGCAGCCCCATCTCCTCCGCCCCACCGCCTGGTTCCTCCCCGACTCCCTTTCTCCGTTGTAGTTGAAGAAGGCGATTTCCAGCCTGACAAACCCATCAGCCCCGAAGTGAGCTGGCCTGGCCAGACGACCTGAGGGCTGGGGCCCCCAGCGACAGAGACCCTGCTTCATCCTCACTACACGCCCCTCCGCCAGCTCAGCTCCAGCCACGCAGGGAGAGGCACCCCAGTCCTGTGTCCCTGTGTCCCATCCCCGGGGGACACCAGTTACTGCCTCCAGGGACAAATCCCAATAGAGCAGGCAACTGGCCAGCGTGGGTGCTCAGGGTTTGGTCATCAAAGCCGTAAACAGCAGCCCATGAGGATGGCCCCGGTGCCCTCTGGTGTTGTAGATTCCCAGCCTGAAACTCCAAGAATAAAGCATCCTGTCTCCCTGCATCCCTGTCTCCGCCAGGTGTGGACCCGGCCCTCAGCTCTGGCCCTCCCTGGTCTCCTCCTCTTGCCCCATTCCCTGGCAGGGAGTTGTGGGAAGAGCCCCCCCTCCCGCCCGGGCTTACAATGCTGTCATGTTGCTGTCGCTCCAGCCCTCATGCTGGGTGAGCCTCAGTGATAAAAGTGGGGTCCCAGGGTGTGGCTCCTCAGGGTGCTCACGGGCCTTGGGCAGCCCCATGGTCCCCCCCCCGGTGGGGGTGCTGTGTGTCTACCATCCTAGTCCCTCAGCCGGAGGACGCCCCTTCCCCAGCAGAGACCAGGTCAAATTCGTCAGGACACAGCCACCACTTTAATGTCACCAGAGAACCAACAGGGAGTTGGGGGATGCAAGGAGGGAAAGAGGCTCCCTGGGGTAGGGAGCTGGGCACCAAGGAAGCAGGTCCAGAGGGTGAGGGACAGACAGACACTCTGGGGACAGAGCCCCTGAGGGTGCTTAGCTACCAGAGGAGGCTGCCCACCTTGGATGGGGACAGGCACACGGAAGGGGCTGGGCCAGACCCAGCCAGGTCCCCAGGCCCCATTCCAAGGGGCCTCCTTGTCCCTTCCATGGTCTGTTGTCTGCCTGGGGACTGTTGCCCTGGTGTCTGCAGAGTCCTTGAGCTCAAGAGGACAAGAGCCTCAGAGGGAGGGGCCCACTAGGCCGAGGAGAGAAGGGGTTATGCTCCCACGCTGGGGCAGGCCCACGAGGCACAGAGTGGTCCACGAAGAGTGCCTGCCCGCAGGCCCCAGATGCCCAGGCCTGGGGGTCCTGTGTGGGGTCCTGCCAGGCCAGGTGAGGTGTAGGTGGGCGAGGCACCCTGGCTGGCTCAGTTGTAGAACACCTCGTCCTCCTCCTCCGAGAGGGAGCCACTGTTCACTGAGGGCAGGGAGCCCAGCAGCAGGGCCCCACCATTGGGCCCTGGGCCCCCAGGCAGCCGCCTGCGATGTTGCTGCTCAGGGCCGGGGTGCTGTGGGCCAGTGGCCATGATGGGGGACTCTTCGGGCAAAGGCCAGGCATCAGGGGAGAGGCCAGGGGACGAGAAGGCCAGGAGGCTGTCCTCTCTCAAGGGGCCGCTCGAGAGGCTGTCTGGAAGGTAGAGGCTCTCCAGGTCTGCAAGGCAAACAGGGTATGGGAAGGGATGGGGTCCTGCTGCTGATCCTGGCTTTCTCTGGGGGTGGGAGGAGGGCAAGGGCATGGGGCCTGCCTCCCTTCCTGCTAGTTCCACGATAAGCTGTGTGAGCAAGGCAAGTCACCGAACCTCTCTGAGCCAGTCTCCTTCCCGTGGCAGGGAGCAGGCTGTGGAGCCAGACTGCACTCTGAGAACTGGGACATGGGGCCTGTCCCCTCCCCCTGGTCAGAGGGAGGACCAGCAAGGTAACTAAATTCGGGCACCACCCAGGCCCCAGGCTTGCCATCTCCTTCCACAGTAACTTGGGTCCTAGAAAGGAGGTGGGTTAGCTGGGCACGGTGGCACACGCTTGTAATCCTAGCACTCTGGGAAGCTGAGGCAGGAGCATCACAAACTCAAGTCCAGCCTGGGCAACTTAATGACTTATTGAGAACTTGTCTCCAAATTTTTAAAGAAGGGGGGCTGGGGGTGTAGCTCAGTGTGAAGGACCTGGGTTCAATCTCAGTACGGGAAAAAAGAAAGGGAAGGGAGGGCAGACAGAAGGAAAGAGGGAAGGCGAGGGAGGATGTCGTGCCCGGTGTTAACTCCAGATCCTGGCTCTGACTCCTCTAGCTGAGTCTGGAGTGATTTCTGAACCTCTTAGTGCCTGAGAGTCCCTGTCTGTACAGCGTAGACAAGAGGACCTGTCCCTAGGACTATCGGGGGGAACCCAGGACGAGCACCCGGGCAGTGTTCAGTACAATGGCCATTATTCTGATCAGGGCGTCCCACACCGTGGCCAGGGGAGGATGGCAGCCTGCTTCCCCAGAGAAGGGAAGGAAGGGCTTGGGGGGCCGCAGTCTGTCCGCTGCCCAGGCATCCGCACCCGAGTCGGCCTCGTCCACTTGCCACACCCACACCCGGGGCGTACCCTGGAGCTGGACGGGGTTCCCGGGGCTGTCTTCGGGGAGCAGCTCCTCGGCATCCAGCGAGGACCAGGCGCTCAGAGTGGCCTCCGTGATGGCGAACTGTTCAGCCACCCCTGGGGGACAGCGAGACCCAGCTCAGTGGGGACACGGCGGGGAGGGGGGCTCTGTGCCACGACAACGCCCCAGGAGTGGGCGCCGGTTCAATGCCACGTCCCCTGCTGACCTGCGGCAAAGCGCGCCTCGCGCAGCTCGTCCGGCAGGCGGCAGTAGTGCTCGTCCTCCGCCGGCGTCGGCGCCCAGCCCGCCCTCGGGGCGCTCCAGCCCTTCCACTCGATGAGGTGCGCCACGCGGCCCCGCGCCATGGCTGTGGGCTTGGTGATGTGGTCCTTGATGCCCTGCACCACGCCTGGGGGTGGGGACAATGGTGACAGCGGCCCAACACTAGGACCCCGTGCCCTCGGCCCCCAAACCCAGGCCTGCCCCATGGCCTGCACCCCACATCTCAGTATCACCCAGTGCCTCCTGAGCACCGAAACCCTGCACCCCCAAAGCCATATGCTACCCTGTGGCAGATGCCTCGCTGTACCCACACCCTGCCCTGGCCCTCGACCAGCTCTGTGGCCCCACTTCACTTAGATGCCCATGGCGTTTCCCAGCCCAGGGTACAGCCCTGCTTCTTCCTCAGATAGGCCACACCTCACTTCCCCTCTGATGCCAGCCTGTGCTCTGGGCTCTGCCGGCTGACAGTGGCTGGGGAGCAGGCAGAGAGGCTGGCCCACAGGAGGCACCAGGAGATGGCTTGGAGGGCACTGGGTTTGGTCAGGTGGAGGTCAGTCTGGAGGCCTGTTCAGGCAGGACTCCCTCATCTCTGGGGGTGAGGTCACAGGCAACCCCAATACTAGGGTGACAGAAGGGCTGGGAGCCTTTGAGCCAGACTGGGGCCTGGAGAGCCAGGCTGAGGGCTCAGACTGTCTCACAGCAGCTGTGGCAGCCACTGCAGGAGAGAGATCAGCAGTGATAGACCTGCTGCTGAGGAAGGGCATCCTGACTGGACTGCTAAGTGGAGGGTGGAGACAAGGGGGGCCCACTGCAGGAACCCAGCAAGGGACGGGCAAGGGCAGGTGGATAGGGAGGTGGAGCTCCAAGGATAGATAGGAAGGTGCTGGACTCAAAGGTGCTGAAGAGGGAGGGGCTGACTGGACCAAGTCAGCATTTGTGTGTGTATGTGTGTGTGCTGGGAATTGAACTCAGGGCCTTGCGCTTGCCAGGCAGGTGTTGTGCCACTGAGCTACATCCCCAGCCCAAGTCAGCATTTCTGTTAACAGATCTGGGGGTCCCTGAAGCCAGGACAGCATGGGGCCATGAGGGACAACAACACTTGAGAAACAGGAGGTTGGAGAAGGAACAGGTGCACATGCCTATAATCCCAACACCTTGGGAGGCTGAGACAGGAGGATCATAAGTTCAAGGCCATTTTGAGCAATTTAGTGATTTAGCAAGACCCTGTCTCAAAAAATAAAAATAAAATGGCCGAGGATATAGTTCAGCATGAAGGCCCAGTACTGCAAAAGGGAAAAGAAAAAAGAAGAGGGCCATTGATGAGAAAAATGAAGGACCTGGGAAGGTGGGAAGGACAGAAGTGAGGAAGGTGGGGAGACTGGCACCCTAAAGCTGCAGGGGCAGAGGGCAGTGTTTTTTGGTGGAGGAGCAGCCCAGGCCCACAAGGGCAGGGATGGACCTCAAGCAGTGGCCTGGGGCAGCTGGGTCCCTTCCTGGCCTGCATGCCCAGCCCCAGCTTGAGCTGCACCCTTCTCGGAGCACTGCCAATGTTGGGCGCTGCTTGCTGGAGACATTGCCAGGTGGAAGAGTCCTCCCAGAGAACTGAGGCCTGACCAGGGGAGATGAAGACCCAACGGGATCTGGAAATCTTAGCCACCCTCTCAGAACTTCCTGAAAAGCCAGCAGTTTAACCCCCAGAAGCAGGAACGCTAAGACACCATCACCCCCAGAGCCAGTACAGGACCTGGTGCTTAGAGAGCCCTGAGTCTAACAGGCCGGCCCCTCCTATCCCACGCCATTTTTCCTGGAGGAGTGTGAGGGTGCTGCCAGTGGAACCTACCCACAAGGGATGAGGTGGCCAGGGCTGCTACGCTGTAGTTGCTGGCGCAGGCTCTGGAGTCGGACAGGTAGCCGTTAGTGGTCTGGAGGCACCTCTGTAGCAAGGAGGCTGGGTGAGCAGGAGGGCCAACAGCCAGAGGCATCTTCTCCACTGTCACACCCAACGTGTCCCCCCAACACGACTGCCATCCTCAAGCCCACCCAAGCCAGGGAGATCAGCCCATTCCCCCCTCCCCAGGGCAGGCAGGTCTGCGGCACAGCTGGGCACAGCAACAGGAGGACAGTGGTGTCCACTAGGGCCTTTGCACTGACCTGCCAAGGATCCCAACAGAAATCCAGCTGTTTGTCCTAAAACAAGAGGAGAAAGAGGGTCAGACAGGGCCCAGCATGCTGTGCCGCTATGCCAGGGGTGGGGGTGGCCTGGTGGTCTACGAGGTCACGGGCTGCCCACTTGGGGTCATGCTCTGGTGTCCCCTGGCACACAGAGAAAGGAGGAAGGACAGCAGTGGCCTGTGAGGGAAGGCAGCGGGCAGGTGACGGATCACATCTGGGTTCCTAACTGAGTATATGTAGACTGGTGACTCAACATCTCGGACCATCAGTTTCTTCCTGTGTGGCACAGGTGACAATGCCAATTACCTCATAGGTTGTGACATAAATGATGTAACACGGGCACAGTGCCTATCACAATGCTCAGCATGCACCAAATCCTCGATAAAGGCTGGAATTATACCAATTGGTAGGTTCAAGCCACAGTTCTGTGGGGCAGCAGTGGGCACTGTGCACCTGGACTTGGGGACCTGAGCAGCAGCTCCCTAGTCAACTCGCATGGAGAATTCCATTCCTTTCCTTCTCAGGAAAGTGCTGCAGGCTGCTGCGTGGTCATGGGCTTATTGAGGAGCTTGCTGTCTGCAGGCTGAGCTAACTTGAGTGGGAAGACTGCAGGGTAGGGCTGACTTTTCTGAACAAGCCTGGCCCAGTCCCAGCATCCCTGGTTCAATCCAGACCCTCATCATGCTGAGTTGCAAACCTGAGGGGCCCCAAATCCACAGGGAGAAGAGGAAAGAGGAGCTTGGAATGGTTTCTGCTCCCTGTGGGCAGCTGTAGGTGACAGGCAGGAGGAAGGACGGCTGCTTACCTTGCCAGTGACATGGTCTATAGCAATGTCAGGTGGATGGCTGGAGGGCAGGTCTGGGTTCAGGAGCTCTGTGCCCCGGGGCATGGGGCAGTCCTTGTGGGCACTTGTGAACAGATCTGGAAATAAGGACAAAGGCAGAAACTTAGGAAAGCTCAGCGCTAGTCAGAGGAATAAAGCAAGAGGAAAGAAGGGCCGAGGATTTAGCTCAGTGCTGCCATGACTGCCTTGCAACTACAAGGTCAGAGTTCAATCCCCATACCCCCTCCAAAAAAAACCAAAAAAAGAAGGAAAGAAAGGAAGGGAAAGAGGGAGGGAGAAAGAGGGGGAGGGAATGAACCTAGTAGGAAAGGAGGAAGTCAAATTTTCCTTGTTTGCAGATGATATGATTTTATATACAGAAAAGACATCATTAAAAATCCATGGAACTGATAAATGAATTCAGTAAGGTTGCAGGGTACAAACTCAATATATAAAAATAAATAGCCTTTTCTTATACACCAATAGCAAATTTGCTGAGAAAGATATCAAGAAAGCAATCCTAGTCATAGTGACTACAATGATGATGATGATGGTGATGATGATGATGATGGTGCCAGGCATGGTGGCACACACCTATAATCCCAACACTTGGGAAGCTGAGGCAGGAGGATCACTGTAAGGCCAGCCTGGGCTACATAGTGAGTTCAAGGCCAACCAGAACTACATAGCAAGATCCTGTCTCAAAAACAACAACAACAAAAATAACAAAAAATAATAATAAATAAAATACCAAGGAAGTGAATGATCATCTACAGTGAAAATTATGCAACGCTGCTGAAAGAAGTTGAAGAGGACACAAAAAATGGAAAGACATTCCATGTTCATGGATTGGAAAAATTAATATTGCTAAAATGTCTATATTGTTCTACACAAAGCAATCCACAGATTTAATACAATTCCTATCAAAACACTAAAAATATTCCTCAAAGAAAAGGAAAACCATTTCTAAGATTCAGATGAGCTGAGGATGTAGCTCACTTGTACAGTTCTTACTTAGCGTGCACAAAGTCCTGGGCTCAATTCCTAGCACTGCAAAATAATAATAATAATAATAATAATAATAATAATAATAAATAACAACAACTTTTTGATGGAACTACAGAAGACCTCAAGAGCAATCCTGAGTTAAAAGGAAAAAGTTAGGGCCGGGGATTTAGCTCAGTGGTTCCGCCGCCTGCTTCGCAAGCGCAAGGACCAGAGTTCGATCCCCGGTACCAAAAAAAAAATTTAAAAATCAAAAGGAAAAAGTTGAAAGAATTATAATACCTGATTTCAAAACATACTACAAAATTATAGTACCCCAAAATAGCATGGTACTGGCATAAAAATAGATATATAGGACCAGGGGGACAGGACAGTGAACCCAGAAATAAATATATGCATCTGTAGCTAACTGATTTTTTTTTTTTGTACCGGGGATCAAACTCTGGTCCTTGCACTTGCTCAGCAGGCAGCGAAACCACTGAGCTAAATCCCTGACCCTATAGCCAACTGATTTTTGACAAAGGCAGTGAGAACATACATTGGAGGAAGGAAAGTCTTGTCAATAAATGGTTATAGGAAAATTGCATAGCAATATGCAGAAGGATGGAATTAGATCCCTGTTTTGCCATATTAAAAAAAAAACAAAACTCAAAGTCAGGTGCACACACCTGTAATCCCAGCACTCTAGGAGACTGAGGAAGGAGGATCACGAGTTTGGGTCCAGCCTTCACAACTTAATGAGATCCTGTCTCAAAATGAAAAAAATAAATAAAATGGCCTGAGGATTTAGCTCAGTGCGAAGACCCTGGTTTCATTCTTAAAACAAAAAACAAAACAAAAGCCTTCAAAATGGATCAAAGCCCTAAAACTATAGAACTACCAGCAGAAAACATGGAAATGTCTCTGAACATGGATCTGGGTGAAGATTTTTTGATATGACCCTAAAAGCACAGACAAATGGGATTATATCAAACTAAAAAGCTCTGTACAGCAAAAATGGAAGTAATCCACAGAGTAAAGGGCAATTTACAGATTGGGGGAACATGTCTGCAAACTACTCAGGCAAGGGATTATTAAAAATTTATTTACTTGCTAGGTGTGGTGGTGCACGCCTGTAATCCCAGCACACTCGAGGCTGAGGCTGGAGGATCACTGAGTTCGAGGCCAGCCTAGGCTACATGGTAAGTTCAGGGCCAGCCTGAACTACAAAGGGAGAGACCTTGCCTCAAAAAAAATTTTTATTTACTTATTGCAGTACTGGGAGTTGAACCCAGGGCATTGCACTGAGCAACGTCTCCAGCCCTTTTATTTTTTATTTTGAGACAGATTCTCACTAAATCGCTAAGTGGCCTGGCTGGGTTTTAAATTATGATCTTCCTACCTCAGCCTCCCAGAGCGCTGGGATTACAGGTGGGGACCACCATGCCCATCCAGACAAGAGATCAGATCCAGAATACATAGCAACTCAACAGCAAAACAAAAACCCAAGTATGACACTGTACACCTGGAGTCCCAGCACTCGGGAGGCTGAAGCAGGAGGATCATGAATTTGAGGCCAGCCTGGGCTATATTTCGAGACCTTGCCTCAAACAAAATGAAACAAAATAAGACAAATATGCTGATTTACAGAACAGACAAAACCTAAATAGGTGTTTCTCAAAAGAAGATGTGTACAGGGCCGGGCATTTAGCTCAGTGGTTCCACTGCCTGCCTCGAAAGTGCAAGGACCCAAGTTCGATCCCTGGTACCACATAAAAAAAAAAAGAAGATGTGTAAAAAGCCAGCAAGTATATAAAAAGTGCTCCACACCCCCAGTCCCCAGGAAGATTCCATCTAAGGCACAATGAGTTCTCATCTCTGTGGTCAGAATGGCTGTTACCAAAAAGACAAGAAATAACAAATGCTGGAAAAGATGTGGGCAGAAAGCAGCTCTCAGACCCAGTTTGTAGGTGCACATTAATAGGGCCACAATGGAAAACAGTACGGAGGCTCCTCAAAAGCTAGAAATAAGGCCAGGAGTGGTGGTGCATGTTTGTGATCCCAGCACTTGGGAGGCTGAGGCAGGAGGACAGCGAGGAGTTCATGGCCAGCCTGGACTGCATAGTGAGACCCTGTCTCAAAAAAACAAAAGAATGAAATCCTGTCATCCTTTGCAACATGGGTGGAAATGGAGGACTAGTGCCACATATTCTCATTTACGTGGAAGTGAAAAAGTTGATCTCGCAGAAGTGGGGAGTAGAACAGTGGCTGAGAAGGATGTGAGGAGGGTTGGAGACCAGGTGGGTAATGTTACAGGAGGGCAGCTGAGTAGGTAGAGTAATTTTTCTTTTGTGTGGTACCCGGCATTGAACTGAGGGCCTTTACACTGAGCTATATCCCCAGCCCTTAATGTAGATATTTTTCTGAGACAGGGTCTTACTAAATTGCCCAGGTGACCCTTGAATTTGCAATTCTCCTGCCTTAGCCTTCCAGAATGCTGGAATGACAGGCATGCTCTACCACTCCTGGCTATAAGGAGTAACTTTTTTTTTTTTTGAGACAGGGTCTCACTATGTAGTTCAGGCTGGCCTTGAACTCATTATGTAGCCCAGGCTGTCCTCAAACTTGTAGCAATCTTCCTGCCTCAGCCTCCTGAGTGTTGGGATTATAGGTGTGTGCCTCCACACCCAGCCCTCCCAGCACTTACAGGCCTCCTTCTGACTGCAGCTGCCTCCCATCTACTTCCTCACCCCTCTGCCATCATCGCCAGTTTACACACACACAGCTCCTCTTCCTGTCTCCCATTCTTTGCAGGCTTTCATGAGACAGCCCTTGGCTGCTACCAGGAACCTCGCTGTAGCCAAGTCCTAAGGATCTCTTCTGGCCTCATGCCCACAGCTCCCCTTCATCCCTGGCTGGCTGTTGGCCTGTTCTCATCTGCACCCCACTTTTTCTTGCCCTGCAGGGGATCTGTCATGTGTGGCTCATGCCTGCCTTCATACCCCCAGCCCAGAGCCCACATGACCTTGGATTGAAATTCCAACCCCCTCCATGGATGCCTAAATAGGCGTCTCTAGCAACCCAGGTATAAGGGAACTCCCAGACTCAGTCCAATCTTCTCCCTCTGCCTGGGTTTAGGAAATGAAGCAAGCATCCATCCGTCTGTAGCAGCCAAACTCCAGGAGTTTCTCAGAGTCTGGCTCCCCTCATCTCCCACTATACGATGCCATCCAATCCACAGGCGAGTCCCTGGGCTCTCTCCTTCATTCCTATCCTCACCAGAGCCGGGGCTGGGCCACACCCTCTCCCTTAGGAAGCACTGCCCCCGCATCCATCCTCTACCTGACAGTGACAGCGGAAAATCCCGGGCCCAGTGGGGTCCCTGCAGGGTCCCTGTGGTTGGGGTTCTTGAGGTGCTCCAGCCACACCGCAGAACCCCTGCTTCCTGTCTCTGCCCACCCACTTGCTCTGCATCCAAAGGGCAGCATCTCTGGCTTTCTGAGAGGGCCCCCATGCTGACATGCGGCAACGCAAACTACAGTCACATGATGTTGAAGAACAGAACTGTGATTTTTCAGAGGCTGTGGCCTGCTGCACACCTAGGTGTGGTACAGCACCTGCCCGGGTGCAGACTGCCATAGTCCTGTGCTGAGCTTGCAGGCAGCTGCACCACAATGGCCAGTGGTGGTGGTGGCAGGGGGAGGCTAACAGAAAAGGTGCAGATGAAATGTGGCACAAACGATAAAGAGTGGTGCAGAGTCTCACTATGTTGCCCAGGCTGGTCTTGAAACCCTGAGCTCAAGTGATCCTCCAGCCTCGGCCTCCCAAGTAACTGGGACTACAGTGGGGAAACTCCAGCCCACTGTTGTAATGTTTTTACTTTATAAACTTTTTTTTCTTTGAAACTTTTTGACTCTTTTGTATTTATCCCAAAAAGAATGGCCATGGGCCAGGGATTTAGCTTAGTGGTGCCACTGCCTGCCTCACAAGCACAAGGTCCTGAGTTCGATCCCCGGTACCAAAAAAAAAAAAAAAAAGAATGGCCATCATCAAGAAATCAAATAACAACAAATGCAAGGCTGGGGGGTGGTGCTTCTACATTGTTGCAGGGAAT